GTACAAGATTCTTCCAAGTAATCTGGTACTTTCTTTGCTTTTTGAATGACCCCATTTTGGTTTCTGTTGGCATTCAGCTCTCAAATTCAGTATTTGAAAGAACTGAAACATACAACTCCCTTATAAGAAAGAGAATCACAAGAATCACTGAAACTAAGGTCAGTGCCAAACAATACTAACAGCAGTTGACACTGGACTGTAGGTTAATTAAAAACCTTATTATTTAATTATGGTAGTAGAACAGATTACCTTTGTATCTTGAATATCAGCATTCTTTTATATCACTGAAACATGCCTGTCATTTTTGTTTATGGCCATTAAATTTATCTTTCAAGTTTATAAAAGTTATGTCAAAAATACAAATATTGAAACTTTTATATTCTCTCTCTCTCTCTCTCTCTTTCTAGTATATACTCTGTATATATTATGTGGTGATATTCCACATATCACAATATATACAGAATATGTTCTCTCTCTCTCTCTCCATACATACATACATACAGAGAGAAAGAGAGTATAAAAGTTTCAATATTGTACTATTTAATATTCTATATATTGTATGAATAATTTTCAGAGTGCCACAGTGTCACAGCAAAGAGTCACAGTCTTTGGTAGCATTCTTGATCCTCTTATGCTTAAACAAAATCTTGCATAGATTTACATTCATTTGTGCTCTCTCCCTCTCTCTCTTTCTCTCTCTCTCTAATTTCAATATTTCTGTAGCAAGAAGTTATCAGAAACCCTATTTTTCATCTGGTTCTAAAACCTTTCCAGCAGCTATGTCACAAATTTAATTTGGCAGGACAAAAGAATTAAAGCAACACAAGAAGACATCATCCTCGAAACCCCTTTCAGCAAACACATGGTTTCTTGAACCTGCCTCCCTCTTCTTTGCCTGGCCTTTAGCTAATCCGTGGGGGCCTTTTTTCCATCCTTTGTTTCCGGTAGGAGTTAAACAGGGATGCAAAGCCTACCTGGCGTAAACTTCAATTTTTAAAATCATCCTGAGCTAGAGAAAACGAGTCCAATATGACCTTCATTACGCAGCATTACTTTGGGAGAGAGAGAGAAAATGATGTTAACAAAGCTCAGCTGCTGCGGTTGTACAAAAGGTCCTGGAAAAGTAATAAAAGATTTGGCTTAATTTACTCCCTCTCCCCATGTAGTAATAAATAATAAATATTGGTCTGTTTGGAGGGGAGATGGGTCAAGATGATGTTGTCTCTTGTCGACTGGTTGGATGTGGGATGTGATGCCTTCTCTGTCTAAGCAATTTGCACCTTTGCCATGCTGCCTGAACTTCTTGTCTAATTGAGGTGTCTAGGTTTCCACGGCAATAAGAAAAGGAGCCTGCCAATCACTATACAGGGCACGTGCCACACATTTTTCATCTGGGGCAATGAATTCCACATATCACAATTTTCTGGAAGAAGTGGTTTTCGAGGGAAGAGATGGATTCAGGGAGCATAATAAATTCCCTTGATCAAAACCAAGTTATTCTCTTCACATCTTTCCCTGCATTAAAGAAGGACAGTTTACGTTACAATTAACCCAAGATTAGTTATTCCTATTTCTTCTCGATTTGGCTCCATATACTGTCTTTGGCAGCCTCCTCAGGATTCTTCTTCCCGCCTGGATTACAAAAGATTTTTTTTTTAAAAAAAGGGACTGAAATTCTAGGAGCCGCATTGAAACGTTTGGATACTTGGAAGAACATTCTGAGAAGTAACAAAGCCAATCTGAGGATGATTGCAAAGTGCTGCATTTTAAAAAAAAGATTGTTTGGGGCTACATAAAATGCTGGCTGTGAAATACATCATCGGAACAAAAAGCAGGCGATCTGCTACTTTGCACTCTGCTTTGTCACTTCCCTCCTTGTCTTCCCCCTCCTCCTCAGGGAATTGCTGATGTTTGGAAACAAATCTGCTGTTTGCCTTTAATGGAGCAGGTAACTGTCGAGGGGAAAAACTGATCCTGTATTAAACCTGCTAAGCTGCAAACCCACGCGCATAAAGCCCCCCCTCCAAGATGTGGAATTTATGATGCCGGTGTACAGAGTTGCCTTTCTGAGATCTAAGGTTACCCCGTCTCTTGTAAGCAACTGTCATTCATTCTTTCCTACTACTGTACCCAACCCTTCGGAAATGAAAGGCCTTCCAAGGGCAGCCAGTGATCTCAAACAAAGAATTCTCATCACCCCACCAAACTTCAGTTTTCAGGGAAGGGGCGTGTGGAGAGCAGGGGGGAAGTACTGTGTTTTGTTGCTACTAGCTAATCAGATTTATGAAATTAGGAGAGGGATGAACAGAGCTACCTGCTCGCAAGAAAAGAAATGCATCATCAGAACATGTTGGTGTAAGCCTATGGAGAACTTTTTAGCTAAGGAAGGAAGACTGCAACATGGCACCATTTTGTTCTTTTCCTAGGCTTGTTTCCAGGTGAAAAGAAGATCTCTGTTCTTTGAACATCATGCATTAAAACTCCGATTGGACAGAATCTTATTTTTAAAAATCCAGAGTAGGTTTTTTTGGTTATATGTATGTATAAAACAATATCAGAACTACCTACAGATTTGCAGTACAGGTTGTCCTCATTTAGTGACTGCCTCATTTAGTGACTGTTTGCAGTTATAACAGTGATGAAAAAGTAACTTTGTGACCAATCCTTGCATTTATGATCTTCGCAGGTCTGTAAAGCAAAGGACAGCTAAAGTAAGATCATAAGCACGGTTGTGGTTTTACTTATGATTGCTTCGCTTAACGACCAAGTTGCCAGTTTCAATTGCAGTTGCTAAACAAGGACTACCTTCAATACCTTTTTCTGGGTGACAAATACTGGATGAGGACTTTTAATGCACAATTTTTTATAGATTTCAGGGGTATGATGCAGCTCAGCAGGGCAATTTTAATAAAAAGGAGCAGAAATTCTTGGTAAGGTTTGAAGGGCAGCTGCTGGATATATGCACTATCAGGTTAATAAGATTAAAATCCAGCTGCTTTGGTTTTTGGTATTTCATAATACTAATAGCAATGCTATTAGCTTAACAGTAGGCTATTGATTCATTGATGGACATGAAAGCATTTTTGTTTTTGATATGCATGACATAAGGCCATTTAACTGTTTGTAAGAATCTCTTCAGCTATATAACTCATCTGTTGAGCAGAAATTTAGCTGTTCTGGAATAATATGTTTAGGTGATTTCATTCTTATTTCTTTAAAAAAAAGACCTGACAGCAGCCAAAGCTTTCTGGGTGGTTTACAATACAGCTTGCATAAAAACCCTGCATTTTTATTAAACGTTTGCATGGCCAGTTCTACCATTGGGAAGAATGAGGCAGGGGCCACCAGGCAAGCAATGGGGGGGGGGTGCGTGAAACACTGGGAGGTAGTAGACCAGTGTTTCTCAACCTGGACAACTTTAAGATATGTGGACTTCAAGTCCCAGAATTCTGGGACTTGAAGAAATCCACACGTCTTAAAGTTGTCCAGGCTGAGAAACAGTATAGTAGACTGAGGACAGAATGTGGATGTCCCACTTACTGTCTGTCTCCTAAGCTAGCCTGTTGCCCTCAAGTGGAGGATTTTGTCCTCAGTATGTGTTGAAGCAGCTATGAACTGTAGTTCATCCAGTTTGGAATTATGGGAAAGGGGAATCTCCTTTTCCACCTGGGGCAGCAGAATGTCCTAGGTTAAAAACCTGGTTTAAAGTATACATCTATAGTTCCTTCATACTTGTCTGTCGTGTAATGTAACTACACTAGCAGCACCAATTACTTAAGCATCACTTCCAAGCCTCTGAGAGAACAGCAGGGAAGTCACTTACACACAGTAGTGCTTGCTCATTAATCTTTCAGTAAACACCTGTCATTATAAGGAGTAAATGGTTTATTTGGTCAGCCAAGCCTGAACAAGAAGAAACTGATTTTGCACTTGATAAGATAATGTAATTAATGAAATGGTTTCACCAGGGAAAAGGGGAGAAAAAGAACTATTTTTCCCAGGTTTCTTTCTGATGTATCTGTCAAATCTTGCTGTTTTTATTAACACACCGTTTAATAGGACTGTGAAATAAAAGGTTTTAAGTTAAGCTGTAAGATAGAGGTCTCTAACCCTCTGGGTTTGAATAGCACATCTGGGCATACTTCTGGCCCCTTCACAAAATGGCTGCTTTGAGGGATATGACTGGTCACCAAAGACAGAAGGCAAATTGATGAAGATGTTCCTTGACATCCTTTCTAGCACCTGAAGAAACTCTCCTTCCAGCTGCCCCTTACCTTTTGTCTTTTTCTCTGGTTGACTCTTCCAAGCAAAGTATTTGCCAAAAGATAGCCACAGAAAAACTGTGGGGTTCATGTGAAGTCTAGGGACATTCTTGGAAACAAAAATAATGCTGGAGATGGAGCTTTGCTTGGATCATGTCAACTTCCCATTTATTTACATATTTTTGAAAGTTGAAAGGATTTTTTTTCCTCCAGTTGACATTGGGTAGGCAGCAAACCATGTGTCTGGGGCCATAACGGTGCCTATGAACTTCATAATAATGGCCCAAGCGATAAGATCTAAGTTTCCAATTTTGCATTGTATATCTGCTACCATTTCACAAACAGGAAACCTCAGTTCTCATACTATGGATTAGAGCCTTAGGTTTCTTTTCTCTCTTACTGTCATTATGATTAATAATTACTATTATCTTAATATTTGTTAGCATGGCATTTCAAGCTTCTAGGATTCTCTGCAACTAAATAAAAGCACCTATTCTGAAACAAAGGAATTTCAACAAGAGAATGCAACATAAAATCTCTGAATTGCTATTCATTAAGAGATTCAGTTCTGTACTTTGGAAAGAAAATAGCATAGAAATAAAATTGTTATTAATGGGATAAAGTGTTCTTAGTATACTCTATGCGCCAAGTAAATTACTACCTAATGTTTTTATAAACTATCATTGTCAATAATGTAACTATCACTCTTTGTATTCTCTCTGACTTTGTCATGTACAGCTCTACTACTGCCACCACCATTATGAAGGTGGGAAAGACGTGTGTAATTCAAGACATACTCTAAGCATCTGAATAAAAAGGTTGGTATCCACTAAAATGAATGCCTAATAAATATATTAGTCGTTACGATACCACAGGTTTTATTATTCCTCCTGAAAATAACATTCACTGCATGGAATGTACATGTTACTGTTATAGAAGATCTTGTTCACAAAAGAAGGTCATCACTAGGTAATAAGGTTCTGCAATGCTATGCTGAACCTTTGTTTCATTTTCATTTCCAGCTACTTGTGGAATGTCTTAGCAGTACTGAAGAGACCTATTGAATGGGCAAATGATGAAAAGGGAATGAAAACATACTGTTTAAGCAAGAATCTTTGTCTTTTCTTTCTACTTTTGCCTCTTGGTATTGTAGGTGAGTGCTGCCCTTTGATGCTACTTCTCTTAAAACTAGCAGTTTTAGCCCCAGCTGCCTTTCTCAAGTTTTATTATGGGACTTACATTTCTCAGAGCAGTAGTGTCTTTTTTTTTGTTGTCGTTAAACAAAAGTGGTTATTCCTTGCCCCTCCAAAACCCTCCTCTACTAATGCGTAATCAAGACGTACTGTTGAATTAGATTATGTACAGTTATTTTCAATAACATCTATGTGTGGGCTATGCGTGGGAGAGAATTTCTTTCAGTATATTGAGTATTTGCTAACAGCAATCTGCAGCATGGGGACAAAGCTGTGAGACTTACTTTTTTTTTTACCACCATGTGGGTGAATCTTGAAAAATTTCAGCTTTTTTATTTTTGTAAGGAATGTGTGGGTGGAAAAGTATGACTCAGTATTTTTCTCAATAGATAAAGACATCATAGCTGAGTTTTGAAGGTTGTTAGCTGACCTTTAGATAATTCCTTTATCTCTAACCCTGTCTTTTTAATAAAGGAAAGCTTATGTCATTTAACAAATTTTAACTAAATAAAATGTGAATGCTTATATATTTATTAAAGATACCTTGAATTGGCTTCACTTTTCTTTCTGAAGAAGTTTAAATCCACTTTTATTCATGTTATTCATTTAAATTTTAGCTCAACCAGTTCTAGAATGACACAACTATGTATATTCAGTATATGCAACAAAGCTTTGGGCTCATTTCTCTGCCATATAGGAAACTGCTTTGAAAGCTGAAGCTGAATTACAAATAAGGGGAAATTGCCACCAGAGGAATGTGTTGACATCATTGGCCCATATCTTCCCCCTCACTAATACATAATTTTTAAAAAAGTAATTATATTAGCTTTGTCCCAAATAAGTTTGCTTCCTTGGCTTCAGCTTATGAGCAGGAAAATCCAAACTTTTTCATGCTTAAAAGTAGAAATATTGACTTCAGTGGGACTAAGCAATCCATTGTTAATGCAACAAAATGGGTATACTTATGAAGTTTGCTTACTAGAAGGTATGTTTGCATGATATACTAACTATAACACTTGATTAAGTGGCACACATATTTCAGTTTCCATATGATCTTCCCCTAGAAGAGCTGAGACCAATTAACAAAAGAACAATAAAAGCCATCATAAATAAAATTATAAAAGTAATTCAAAACAATACATATAAAAATAAAGTTCATTTTAAAAAAGAAAAACAATAGGACAATCCAAATTGGGTTTGGATTGGGCCTAGAGTGCTTATTATTCTGCAAGTGTCAGGATGAACAGGTATGACCTCACTTGTTTTCTATAAGAAAGCATGGGGCAGCTGAACTCCTCTGGAGACAAAGTTCCTTAATAATGGATTATAAATCCCTCCAGTTGTGCATGGATCTTTCTGAGGTTTGTGCCTTAGAAAGTTGTAAACAACATCTGTAAACTGGAGTAACAAACTTTTGCAACTTTGTAGTCTGTTTTCTGGACACTGAAGATAGTAGCTACTGGAATAGTATCTCCCCAGAGATCTCTACTGCTCCCACATTACTGATTTTTCACAAATCTAAAAAAAACCTGGTTGTTCCCCCAAGCCTTGGGTTAGGATGGTGACTGAGCCTCCTTGGGTTTTTTTGGTATTAAATATTAAATTAAATTAAACCTTTTGGTCTGTATGACACAGTAAACCATAAACTTCATTTAACCATATGTAATGGGGGTAAGATTACATTCCCACATGGTCATTAAATGAGCCTTATAATTGGCATGCAGTGTAAAAACCAGAAGGTGGAAGGTTTTATTTTTGTTTAAGATGACAAGAAAAAATTAAATCCAAATAAAGTTGACTTGCTTTTAATCATTACAAAATCTGGCTCAGGGATTTTGGAAAGTATCGTATTCCTCCTGAATGATCAGATTTGTTGTTGCACCCTAATTTTCCTCTCTCAAAGGATCTATCAGATGGAAAAGATGAAGTATACATCTCACTTCTTTTGTCAGACCTCTGGTCCAGTGTTACCCACTCAGTAGCTACATTTGTTCAGCAGTCATGAAATCCACTCTCAACTTACCTCTGGCACAGTGGGGTGTTTACCAAATCTGTAACATCCTCTAGACCAGGCTTGCACAACATGCAGACCACCAAGCAGCCTTGTACAACGTGATGGCATTTTTTTGAAAAATAATCTGCTGCTGCCAAATGTCACATCTGCCAGGAAGATCTGTTGCTGCCATTTTCACAACCACTTCCATCCTGAAAGATACACTGCCTCTAGGCCCTATGGACACTGCCAGCAATGCTGCCGCCACACCGCCAAACGACTGGCGCACCAGGGATTTCTTTGTGGCCCACAATTATTTTTAGGGCATCAATCCGGCCCTTTTTTCTCTATGAGTTGTGCAGTCTACTTCTAGACTGTTAATTGTTCCATTTTTGCTCTGTTTGTAGCAATCATAGATAAGTTTACTCATTTTTTTTTTAGATGTGAACCTGATGGTAGACAAAATTTATTATATTTGTTTTGACAACAATATTAACAATCTGACTTTAAGCCTCAGCCAAATGATATATTTTAGGTAGTTGATATAGTCTTCTCCTTTGGTAATCTGTTGTTTTTTATTTATTCTGTTTCTGTAATATATTTCCATTTATTGCATTGACTGGTCACCAGCCACAAATATAACAACAACAACAACAGCAGCATGATATTGGGAAGAGTTTCTTGTCCATAAGCTATCATTGGATTTTCAAGCATCAGGAAGAACTTCACTTGTGCCAAGTTTACTTTTCACACCTTTATCTATATTCATGTTGCCTATTTGGCAACATTATTCAAATCCAGGTTATGTCATCTTTAATTATACAGAACTTTCAGTTGATGCATTAATCAGAACATATGCAAAACACATTTTATGAGAACCTTATAGTCACGTATTAAAATATGTATCTACAATATTAAATACATATATTAAAATATGTATCTAATATGTATCTACATATTAAAAAAAGTATCTACAAGATACTCACAAGATGTTTAGTCTCAAAGAATAAGTATTTGGAGTTGTGCAGTCTTCAGTACACAGAGCTATAACTTGATGGTATGATAACATTAAAGGGGAAGACGTGTGTGTGTTAGTGTGTCTGAAGGAAAGGAAACAGAAATCAAGTGAAGCCCAAATAATTAATCTAAAATTCATTCAGGAAAGTCCTGAGTAAAGGTAAATCTTTAACAGGTTCTTAAAAGGTGAAATAATGGAGCACATTCTAGAGGACAGGTCTTCTTATCTACCAGTGATCACAAGGTCCACCTGTAAGTGTTCACAAAATGACATTATCAGTTGGACACACAAGCAGGATACCCTCTGATGATCTTAAAGATCAACTGGTGCTGTAACAGTGCAAGTAAGCTGACATGGTATCATGATCCCAAATTATCTAGAGGCTTGTATATCAAAAGCATCTTGAACTTGACTTGGTAGCCAATTGCTATGTTGTTTACAAAGCAGCCAGGACAACATACTGAAAGACTAGCTCAACACTTAAGGCCAAGAAAACACCTTTCAATTAAGAGGCTGGAAATATGGAAGAGCCCTAATAGCTGTAAAGAAGAAAAGAGTGATAGAGAAAATGTTCACATGGGATATCTGCAGGCATTGTTTAATCATATTGCTTCTTGTAGGCATTCTGAATTTTCCATCAATGGCTAAAATGGCATGGCTTCCTTCCTTGATTTCTTAATGATTCCTAAAGATTAAACATAATTCAAACCCAGGATGCATGCTACTTTTGATTTGTGGAACATTAATTGATGGTTAATAAGCCAGGCCATAATTAGCATTGTTGTGTTCAGATTACATGCTTAAGGGTTATAAAACATAGGTGGAACATGTGCTGCTCACAGAAGCTATAGTATGTTTCATTCCTTAGCTAACTTATTGTAATAGTCAACATGTAAATGTGGGCAACAGCTTATTTAGATGCAGCTGATACAAAACAGTCAGTCCTGCCAGTAGGTAGAATACTCATCCATGTATCATCATTGCTCACAGGTTTTACAAGTTTTTGTAGTAATATGAAACATGCAACACCTGTTTAATTAGAAATGAGGCAAGTCATCTGATGGTACAAAAATTGGGCAACGAAGAATTACTTATAAGAGTCGAAAGTGGGTAAAGAAACATATTAGTCTGGAAAATCAGTTTCTTCTAATAACTAGGGCTGAAGAAATGATACAAAGACTACAGACTTATTCCATGGAGTTCAGCCCAATTGAATTCAGTGAAATTTATTTCTGAAACTATTTCCAAAACCTGAAACACAACGGGTGCAAAAAAATAAAAAGTGGGGACCCAACATTTACCTAAAAATAAATTCATTGCCACTTCCTCAAAATAGAAACACTTAGAACCATTTTGAATTCCTACCAAAATTTCTACTACAAACCCCACTGCTTACTTATTACACAGAGCTTGAGATAGTTCTGAACAATTTGTAAATGGTAGCCAGAGACATTTGCTCTATTGCATATTCCAGATGAACTGAAGGGTGAGATGATATGTATGGCATCTAGGCATTCAAATTTAGTATATCTGTAGCAGCTGCACTGGCAGCCTACCAGGTGCGCAAATGCTATTTTTAATTACCATAAAATGGAGCAGATTGCAGCTGGCCTTATTGAATAGCAGGTTTTGGCTTATGAGATGGAGAATTCCTTGCAGCTGGGTCTTGTCACATTGCAAACAGAGGACAGGTCTCAGAGGCAGGATCAGGCTGTCAGTCACCATCTACAATGGCAGAACTCTGTTACTTTTTTTTTTTTTTTTATACTGAACAATACTACAAATGCAAGAGCCACCATTTCACTGAACTTGAAGCTGGTCTGAATGAACTTTAGAAATCAAGCCCCCAGCAATCCAGAGCTGTGGCCTTATCAGTGCCCCACTCCTTCAGAGCTCACAGATGAACATGTTGATATCTATGAGAACTCTGGAGTTTCCTTTTTCTTCTCCTGAATCCTGAGTGGGAGAATCAATAACTTTTCTTTTAAAAATAAGACAAAGTGACAACTTGAGGGCTGTAGAAATTTGGGAACAATATCTTATTTTCTATGAAACTTATAATATTTGCAGGCATTGTACTCATTTCTAGAAGAAACGAGTGTGTCAAGCAAAATAAGCTAGAAAGATGTATTACAGGACAGGATGACCTAACTTTGCCCACTGAAAATTCATGCTCTGTGGCTGGATATCAAGCTTGGGTGTTCTGTGTTCAAAGAATTTCCTTGTGACTTTAGCCTAAGGCTTCCATACCTGTGCTGCAAAAACCCAGACAATCACTAGATAGCAACAAAGAATTTTCTGCATATCTTTGCTGCTATCTATTGGTCATCTGGATTTTTGCAGCATTCCTATGATAGCACTAACGTAAGCCAGCTGTTCCTAATCATTTTGCTGAGAGGTATGGGAGTGGGATTTGCAGTCTGAACAGCATCACATTTAGGAGATCTACTTTAGCCTAACTCTTTACACTTTTACTACTGAAATTTCAATGCTAAGCAGGATTGATCACCAAGCAGGTTGGTAGTTCATTTATGCCATTCATTCACAAATAGCTTCCCAAGAGGCATTATTTTCACTTTTTATGAAAGGGCTTAGCATTAATTTAAAAGTAGTAAATAACTCTCTCCCCATGTTTCTATTCATGTTCACAATTACATTCATTCACTGTAAAATATGAACCCCTGCAGTGGCCATATTTGCAAATGTATTTACTTAGAAGTAAATCTCATTGAAATCTATAGGCCTAAAGGTGTTTAGGATGTCAGTCCCATGTTACTTTAAAATGATCAGATTGTCCCTAAGATTATCAATTGCCCCTTATTCTGAAGTGTTTATACTTAAATATCATCACTTCAAAATATGCAATGGATGAGTTCTTCCGTTTATTTTTCTTCAGAATACATTTCCAAAAAGCACAGAGACAGGGTGTCTGTTCTTAAATCTGTAGTACAAGCGTGAGTGGAAATCTTAAGAAGTGTAAGAATTTCACCGTACCGTTTTATTCAATGCTTAGAGTCAGTCTGTACTTGGGGTACAAAAATCTGCTTTTACCTCATCACCTCACCTGCCCAGGGACCACCTGAGAAGCCTACAACAGCAAATTAACCAGAGGCGCCCAAACATAAGCAATATCTCCACAATCCCGCAAAAGCATTGACGAGATGGGGAAGCGCCATCCAAATTGTGCTAACAACGAATCTTAAAGACGGTGAAAGTGAAAGGACAGGCAAGAAATAGCGGGTGAAAATTGACGTTTGGCTGGAAGGCAGCCCTCAACGCTAGCGGAAACTGTGTACGCGCAGTTAGGGGTTGTCTTTCGGCCCGGTTGTGAGTGAAAAGTAACCGAGGCGGGAGATACGATTATGGCTCGCTCAGCCCTGCTGTCACAGCCCTTTCAGCCTCTCGAGACCGAAGAAACAAAGTCAAGAGCGCAATTTCCGTACGGCGCTCCCTCCTGCCCGTCCTCGCGCAGTTGCATAAGAGGGAGGGAGGGAGGGAGCGACGCTGACAGTGCCTTTTTCCCCTTTTAATTTTCTATGTCCTCGCGGCACCTTCCTTCCCCCTCACGTGACGGCTTTCTGCAGGACGAAATGGAACGGGGCGGAGCCAGCATGTGCCCGAGACTTCATTATCCGTTTGTTCCAGCTGCTTTCAGCCCCGCCCACACACACAAAAAAAGCTGAAAACCCAGAAGGGAGGGGGGAGAGGGTTGTGTGGTGACACGTGCTCTTCTCCGCTGTCTGCTCAAGTCCGAAAAAGAGCTACTGTACAGACTTCCGGCAACGGTGCACGCACCCCTCCTTTCACGCAACTCTTCTTTCCTTCACGCGCGTCTCTTAGGCGTGAAAGAGACGCACGAGCCCTTCTACGTTTCGGTGGTGTTTCCCAGCATCTTGCCATCTTCGGCTCCTCCGCACCCGTCACCGTCACCCTCATCCCCACCACTACATGCTCCCTTTATAGCGCATGCTCTGAAATGTACCTTACGTGACGGTTCCTCTTCGTCGCGCGTGCCCTCGCCGTTTGTTCGCTCGCCAGGAAGAAGCGGCGGTCGCGCGCTCAATGGGGAGACTGGGGCGCGCGCGCGTGCGCGCGCGTCAGGGCCGGCGCTCCGCACGCGCGCTGTTGTTATTGGTGC